ATCCAAACAAAATAATAGTATTGATGTGGTTGACAACAATATTACTATAACAACAGTAATATTACCGTTAACCATAGTAATATTATTGTGTTTACAGTAATATTACTATAATAGACTGTAAAACGAGATGAATCCAATTGTTGGTAGCCCATCAAATTCCGATTGTCGGAACACAAATTACTCATTCGGCAATATTATTACGGCTTGTTTTATAGGGATAATTAGTGAAAACCCCCCAACTCATTTACTTATATTAAGGTGGATACAACCTCCTTTTCATTAATAGTGAAAACACCCCACCTTATATTAAATAATTTTTTTTTAATTAATATTGTATTTTCACATGACTAATATATCTAATTTGCCCTTCTATATTATATTTGAAATAACAAAACCTATTTCACGTTCTCTTTATTTCTCTTATTCTCCTCTATGTTTTCTCTCTACAAACGGCCGCCTCCAACTTCTTCCATCTATACGCCACCGCCGCCACCACCTCCAACCCTCTTCTATCTTTGTGCCGATGTCTAATCTCTTCTCCCAACGACGTTGCTTCCTCCACCTCCGCGAAAAGAAGGCGGTCTTCACCCCTGGAATTCTCTCGTCAAGGACGGCGTTAGGGTTTTCGCTTAGGAGAATGACGACACTATGCAGCGGCGCTAGGGTTGATACTCCGTTTGAGATTTCAATAGAGACCACCGCCAACATTGTTTTACTGTTGCTGTTGTTCTTCTTCTCTGATTCTTTTTTTATTTTTTTTTGGAACCCAATTCTCGAATCTCATTTTTCTTACTTGGATTTTTTGGTTAAATTATTATATTGAAAGCTATTTTTGTGTTCAATCAATAGTATAATGGATGTTTATTTTTGGTGAAATTGTGTTAGTGTTATTTACAGATATATAGTTGTTTTCGTACAATAATATAGTTGTTTTCGAACAACAATATAGTTGTTTTTATTACTTTTTAGGTTATTTTGATAAATAGTTGATTTAACAAATAATTGATTTTGATAAATGAAAGTTGTTAGAGATATATAGTTGTTTTAATCATAATCGTTTTAATAATAGTTGTTTTTATTAATAGTTGTTTTATGACATATAGTTGTTTTAACTAAAGAAAAAAAGAATAGTAAAAAAATATTTTGTAAAGATATAATAAAAAATTTTAAAAATGTATTTTAAAAAAAATATTATTTTTTAAATAAGAAATAAATAAATAACAAAACTTAAAATAAAAATAAAAAAAAATAAAAAGTAGACCAAAGTAGTGTATAACAGGTAGTGAATAAAGGAAAGGTAAATTTGAGAATAAAAAAATGATAGGTCTCTCACTAATAAAGAAAAAAGAGCTGGACCCATCCTCATTAAAATAATACTATAGAGGGTTATCAGTAATAGACCCTATTTTATATACACGCTTTGGGTGGCTAATAAATTAGGGTTAAACCCAAGCTAAAATTATTTTTTGGCATACCCCTCCATTCAACATTTCTAGTCCCGCATTCAGCATTTTCACGATTTTTTTTTTATTTTTTTTTATTTTTTTATTTTAAAACTTGTTTGTTTAATTTATTATTTTTTATTTATATATTTAGTTATTAATTTTTTTAATTTTTTAAAAAAAATTAATTTTGTTTTTAATTTTTTTTTTAAATTTTCTTTTTATATCGATATGTTTAATGTACTGAAAAATAACTACATGTAAATGTAGTAAACGATAGTCATTTGAAGTTATGTTCTATCTTTTTACGCCAAATTTTTAGTCGACCAATTATGTACACACACGAATATTGTCTTATACAAAAAAAATAAAAAAATTTATAAACCCCAACAACAAAAAATTACAAATTCAATATTTATATTATAAATCACCTCATAATCAACAAATACAAATCAAAAATACAAAACTATATGCATATGTAACTATATGTTACTATATGTAACCAGTAATGTATAGTAATACAGTAATGTTTACAATCTGTAGAACACTGTAACTTGAAGCAGATGTAATTTCAACCAAATTTTTTGACACCTTCAAGGAGACGATCAATGACTTTCATTAAATTGCAATTGCAAAAAAAAAAAAAAAAAAAAAAATGTGAAGAAACATCTAAACACTAAAAAATCAACAAATACTTAGAGATCGAGAGATGAGAGAGAGGCCATAGCTGCGAAATGCTACGAATTTTAGACCATGAAAAATGAACGAAATTACCATTTTAATATTTTTTTTAATAATTTTTCAATTTAATTGCTTACCATTTTTTTTATTAATATTTTAATTTCTAAACAATCAAATTAAAAAGAACACACACACATATATATATATATATATATATATATATATATATATATATATATATATATATATATATATATATATATATATATATATATATTTATTTTTTTTTTTTTTTTTTTTTTTTTTTTTTTTTTTTTTGAGGGACTATTTCGTTATTTCACATCCAAAAATCAACTACCTGCCGCACATCCAGCGAGTGAGCCACCCGAGAGTAAACTAGGGGGGTTTTCTGTGTTTGACTAAATTTCACAGGGTAGTTTTTGCTAGTTTATTTATCACGAGGTTTTTTGTTATTTAGAGATTAAATAGTGGTATTTTTTGCGGTTTACTCGGGTAGTGTGATAATAGTCCTGATAATCACTTTTATTGATCCATTGTGCAATCTGCTGCATCAAGCTTCAGCTCTTCAAACTTTTGAATCGTGTCGTCTGGCGGTGGCGTTTGCCCGGCTGCCAAAGAGGAATGGTAACCCAACATCGGGAACATCACCTGTGGCGGTATCCCGACGTAAGGGCTATCCAATATCATCGGTCTCAAACGTTCCCAGCTTCTTCTATAATTTTTTATCGCGTAGTGGGTCTTGTTGTTGTAGCGTTCTACAATAGAAAGAATATCGAGAACATAGTCGTACAACGGGGGTTGAGACCAGCCCCGCATCCACGTCAAGTACTCAACAACCTTAGTGATTCTTTCCATCTCTAAACGCATTTGACACTGTCGAGATTTCAGCTGTTTAATTTTCTCGAATGTTAGCGCCAGTTCATCGGGTGAGATTCCATCCGGGACTGGAATTGGTGGCAGCGGCGTTGTAGGCCCCGGAGGCAACGGAGGCATGGGCTTGTCCAATATGGCTGCAATGGCACGAGGCCCGAGAGATATGGTCATATTCGCTTTAAATATCTCCACTGCATCTTCCATTTCCCTCACATACTCTTCCATCAACGAAATAACCAATGTGTGGTAGTTCATTAGCGACGTCCCCATCGTCCTATAAAGTATATGTTAAACAAAGACGAAGAAGAAATACATATCAAACAACAAATATATTGTTCGGACCCCGTTCAATTTACAACATAATATTTATACTACACTGGCCTTTGCAAAGTAGATGTTGGTGGTATCTTTCCTTATCCTCAACCAAACCGAAAGCAAAAACCTTTAATGATTTAGAAGAAGAAACATAAAAATATTCAATTAGAAAATAAAATAGTCTATATATATAAAAACAACACATACAGGGAGATGTCACGTGCATGAAGAAGAGTCGGGGACAAATTGCATTTCCACTTAAAGAAACGCTAGGAAAGGGAAACGCGCTTTTAAGGGCAACTGGGATTTAAAACACACCAACCGAACGACGACAAGTGGCATGGCGGTTAACTTGCTAAATCGAGCTGAAGTGTCAAGATGACTATAAATAGAAGCTCAACTGATTCATGTTGTTTTTGTGAAATATCTTAGGGGTAATTCCTCTGTAAAACTTCAAATTGGGTTTACCCATTCAATATATTCTTCTATTATAGCTTCAATCATAACAATTGGCCATCAGAGCATTGATCCTAGTAACCACGCACGATCGAATTGGTTATGGCGAAGGCTAACAGTACCCGAGTGGAAGCAGTAGAACACCAATTGGTGGCGATGGATGAGCACATGAAATCAATGGAGCAGAATGTGGCGAGTTTCTTCGGAGGTCAGCAAACCTTGAGATCGGAGTTGCAGGTTGATTTGGAGGAAAAAATTGCAGCAGCTCAGAAGAATACATATCTGAAGTTTGATGAGGTGTTCAAACGATTCGATGAATTAGGGCGGTTGTTAACGACGAATCGAGGAAAGGAACCGTTGCAGGGCGGCGGATCTATGACAAATCCACCACCGCCGACGGCACGTGCACGATCGGAAGGGAATGTGCCATACACGATCCCCATGCATCGTCAATCTGAAGGTCAATATGGTGGAAATGGAAATCATAAAACTCCGAAGCTGGATTTTCCACGTTTCAATGGCGATAATCCTCATGGATGGCTGCGGAAATGTCAGAAATACTTTAATATTACACGGATGTTAGATCACGAGAGGGTTGGCTATGCATCAATGTATATGGAGGGCAAAGTCGACCACTGGTATTCGGATTATGTTGAAGGACGTGAGGCAATTGACTGGGTAGGGTTTGTTGATATGGTGATGGAACGCTTTGGTGAAGATAATGACGATAGAGTGGTGGAAACCTTCAATAAACTGAAACAGGAGAGCACAGTGGAGGTGTATAGGGATAAATTTGAGGAATTCAAGGCATTCATGCTACACATGAATCGAACCTTATCTGAAACTTACTTCATAAACAGTTTTATCAGTGGATTGAAAGAAGAAATAAAGAGCATGGTGAAGTTGCTGAAACCGAGGACATTGAAGGAAGCTATGTATCAAGCTAAGCTTCAAGAGAAAGCTGTGGATCAACTACACAGAAGCATGAGGAGTTATCCAAAGCCAGCGATGAATGCACCAAGTTATAAGGGCTTCAAGAGTAAATATGGTGAGTCTTCTATCAAACAAATTTCTCTTACTGAAGAAAAGAGTACACCTATCAAGAGGTTATCTAATGCTGACTAGGAAGAGAGGAAGAGGAAAGGACTGTGTTTTAATTGTGATGAGAAGTTTACTTATGGTCACAAGTGTAAGAGATTGTTCATGATTTTGGGAAAAGAGGTCAGTGATGGAGAGGAGGAGTTAGAGGAACTGGAAAATTAAGGGGAGCTCTCGAAAATTTCTGTGTATGCTTTAGCAGGTCAAGTGAATGATATAACTATCAAACTCATAGGTATGGTTAACAAATAACCAATATCCATCCTTGTAGATACTGGTAGTACCCATACTTTCCTTGATCCTAGTACAGCTAAAAGAGTGCAGTGTCTTTTAGAATCCCACTGCCTTGATGAGGGTCACTGTAGCAGATGGTAGGAAAATTGTGAGCAATGCCAAATGTTCTACTTTCCAGTGGCAAATAGGCAAATATTCCTTTGCAACTGAGGTCAGGATATTAGAATTGGGGGGGTGTGATCTAGTTATTGGAGTAGATTTGTTGAGGCAATTGGAGCCAGTTACATTCCACTTTACCAAGCAAAGAGTGACTGGTTATTTGCAAGGGCAGAAGATTATGTTACAAAGTCCAAAACCTAGTGTTTCCATTCATGCCATCACAAAAGAAAAGATGGAAGATCTCATCAGCAGAAACAAGATCATGATTGGATGTGTGTGTATGATTTCTGGCATAGATAGTTTGCCTATTGCTACCACACCACCTACTTACCTCTCTTCTACTTTAGAAGAATATGCAGATGTGTTTAAAACACCTACTTCTCATCCACCTGAGAGAGGAGCTGAACATTCAATCACTATTAAGGCAGGCATGTCTCATTTCAAATTACAACCATATAGGTATCCATATATACAAAGGAGAGAAATTGAGAAGATGGTTGATGAAATGCTGCAAAGTGATATTATACAATCCAGTGCTAGCCCATTCTCTTCACCAGTGCTCTTGGTGAAGAAGAAAGATGGAACTTGGAGGTTTTGCATTGATTACAGGAAGCTGAACTCTATTATAGTCAAAGATGGTTATCCTATTCCTATCATAGACGATTTACTAGATGAATTACACGGGGCTCAGATATTTTCAAAGATTGACCTTAGAGCTGGCTATCATCAAATAAGAGTTAAGCAAGAGGACATTCATAAGACTGCATTTGTTACAGCCTCAGGACATTATGAGTTTAAGGTGATGCCATTTGGCTTAACTAATGCCCCTGCCACTTTTCAAGCCTTGATGAATCAAATCTTCAGAGCTCACTTGAGAGAATTCATCCTTGTCTTCTTTGATGATATCTTGATCTACAGCACCACTGCAGCACTCCACCAAGAACACCTGCAGATCACCCTATCCATTCTAAGGCAGCATGAGCTGTATGCCAAGGCCTCTAAGTGCAGCTTTGGTCAACCTAGGATTGACTACTTGGGCCATATCATTTCTGCTGCTGGGGTGGAAGTTGATCCAGAGAAGATTAAATGAGTCATGGACTGGCCTGTCCTTAGTAATGTGAAGGCATTAAGGGGTTTCTTGGGCCTCACTGGTTATTATAGAAAGTTTGTCAAGCATTATGGGATAATTGCTAAACCACTTACTGATTTACTTAAGAAAGGTAAGTTTGAGTGGGGTGTTTCTGCCACTGAGGCATTTGCACAGTTGAAGACAGCCATGAGTAGCACTCCAGTGTTACAATTGCCAGACTTCTCCATCCCCTTTGTTTTAGAGTCTGATGCTTGTGCCACTAGAGTTGGAGTTGTTCTTATGCAGCAAGGGCACCCCCTAGCCTACTTGAGTAAAGCTCTTGGTCCAAAGAGTATGGGCTTGTCAGTTTATGAAAAAGAATTTCTGGCAATTCTCTTAGTTATTCATAAATGGAGAGATTATTTGCTGCACACCACCTTTTTAATCAGAACTGACCAAAAAAGCCTTAAATACTTATTGGAGCAGAAGATTACTACCCCCATACAGCAAAATTACTTGGCCAAATTGCTGGGGTTTAGCTATAGAATTGAGTACAAGAAAGGGTGTGAAAACAAAGCTGCAGATGTTGTTTCTATGAGGGATTCTGAGGGGATGCTCCAAGGGGAATTGTCTGCCCTCACTGTTCTGAAACCTATGTGGCTAGAAGAGGTTATGCTGAGTTATGAAGGAGATCTTACAGTGCAAGATGCTATTGCACACTTAACTACCAGACTATGGGATGGGTCCGAATTTGAGTATCTAGATGGCTTACTCAAATTTAGAAGTAGGATCTATGTGGGTAGTACCGGCACTTTGAGACATCAGATTGTCATTTTCATGCATGAATCTGCTGTGGGGGGTCATTCTAGGGTCCAGAATTCTTTGAGAAGGGTGCAAGGTGTATTTCTCTGGCCTCAGCTGAAGACACAAGTGAAAGAATTGGTCAATTCTTGTGGGGTTTGCCAGCTCAATAAACATGAGACCAATAGGATACCTGGTTTATTACAACCACTACCCATACCAGAGCAAGCTTGGGCTTACATTACTATGGATTTCATAGAGAGATTACCAATGTTTAAAGGCAAGGATACTATTTGGGTCATTGTGGATAGGTTTACCAAGTACAGCCATTTCATCAGCCTAAGCCATCCAATGACAGCTTCTTCCTTAGCTCAAGTTTTTGTGGATACTGTGTACAAATTGCATGGATTACCTACTTATGTGGTGTCAGATAGGGACAGGATATTCACAAGTGTGTTTTGGAAGGAGCTGATGATTTCATTGGGAATTCAGCAGCAAATGAGTACAGCTTACCATCCACAAACAGATGGGCAAAGTGAGAGGGTCAATCAGTGCTTGGAAAGTTATCTATGGTGCATGTGTGGTAAATTTCCCAAGCAATGGAGTTTTTAGTTGTCCCTAGCTGAGTGGTGGTACAACAAATGCTATCATTCAGCCATCAAAATGTCTCCATTCCAAGCTCTCTATGGTTATCAACCCCCTCAAGTGGGGTATGGTCCTTGGTTGGAAGTAAGAACTGCTGGTGTTGAGCAGTGGTTAACTGACCATACCAAGATGATTCAGCACCTCAAGGACATGTTACAAGAGGCCAGTAATCGTATGAAGGTACAAGCTGACAAGCATAGGAGTGAAAGGGAATTCGGGGTAGGAGATTGGGTTTATCTCAAACTCAAGTTGTATAAATAGTTGAGCCTTAAGAAAAGCCCCATTTGGAAACTCATGCCTAAGTACTGTGGTCCATTTGAAGTATTAAAGAGAGTTGGGGAGGTAGCTTATGAGTTGAGACTGCCAGAAGATGCCAAGGTCCATCCAGTTTTTCATGTTTCATTGCTAAAAAAACAAGTTGGCAGCACAGATAGGGTGGTGCATTGTTTCCCTCCCTTGACTGATAATGGAGAGCTATTATTACAACCTAGAGGAATAATGCAGCAGTGGGGCAGATGTTGGTCCAGTGGGCTCATTTGCCGGCAGAAGAAGCTACTTGGGAGGAAGAAATGATCAAGAGATTTCCTTTATTCCAAACATGAGGTCATGTTTTTCAAGGGGGGAGGATTGTCACGTGCATGAAGAAGAGTCGGGAAACGACGTCGTAGGGAGAAATTGCATTTCCACTTAAAGAAACGCTAGGGAAGGAAAACGCGCTTTTAAGGGCAACTGGGGTTTAAAACACACCAACCGGACGGCGACATGTGGCATGGCGGTTAACTTGCTAAATCGAGCTGAAGTGTGAAGATGACTGTAAATAGAAGCTCAGCTCATTCATGTTGTTTTTGTGAAATATCTTAGGGGTAATTCCTCTGTAAAACTTCAAATTGGGTTTACCCATTCAATATATTCTTCAATTATAGCTTCAATCATAATAGGAGACAAACAAAGAACACATACAAAGGAGATAGACAAACAATAGTGAAACAAGAAGACGAAGAAATAGCCCTAACGTCCCCAAGAAAACCCTAATTTTGATCTTAAAAGTGGAAAATTCGGCGGACAATTCATGTTTCTCTTAAACGGCCCCAAATTCGAACGAATACCGAAGAATTTCAGATAATAAAACAAGAATTGATCAAAAAACAAAAGATACAACACAACAACGCCAACATCTTCCCTTATCTTCAACCAAAATGCAATTCCCATTCAAAACGCCCATTTTTTTCCGGAAATTTCGGAAAATTGGATTTTTTTTGAAAATTTTGTTTCCGGAAGTTTTCATTCCAGTCCAATAAAATCAAAGCAAAAGTAGAAAAAAAAATGATGAAAGGTTTTCATAATCAAAATTTTTCAGAAATGAAAGGATCAAAAGTTATAAATCAAACGTGTAACAAAAGTCAAACAAGAATAAAAGAAATTTGTTGAAACAAAACCTAGAAACAAGAATAAAATGCGAGCCAAATAATACCTTGTGCGTGTTTCACCTTCACCAGAAGTTCTGTGTATTTTAAGAAGAGGATGATTGAAAATTTAATTTTGAAGAAAGGAGTGGAGAAAGAGTATATACATAGGCCTATTTAAATGCATCTTAGTAATGCTAAATAGTCCTCCAAAACACTCGCCACATTTCCCTAATGTGCTACCCACGGTTATTTATTTATTATATTCAAAATTAAATTTTACAAAAAATAGTTTAATTATAGGGTTAATATGCCATGATCCCCTCAAACGAAACCTAATTTAAACTAAATGACAAGTTTAAATCACATATTTTAATTAAATTCTTAGTTTGAAATAATATATGAGCCACATCCCTAATTTTTTTTATCCATATCTTACCCTTATACCCTAAATCATATAATCTATACATTCACGTTTCTTCAATTTAGATTTATTTTTCTTCTTTTCGTTTTCTCTCTCTCACGTTCTCTCTCTCACCGTTCTCTATCTCACGCTCCAATCTCCCTTTCTCTCTCTCTCTTCTCTTCTCTCTCTCACTCTTCTCTCTCTCTTCTTTTTCTCCACTAGCAGGATGGAGGCCGTCACCGCCGCCGGTGATGGAGGAAGAAAGAGCAGGGGCGGCGTGGTGGAGGTGGGGATGAAGGTGGAGGCGGCGGCAGCGGCGGAGGGCGGCGTGGTGGAGGCGACGGCGACGGTTGAGGCGACAACGGCGGTAGCAGAAGGCATGGTGGAGGCGGCGGTGGCGGCGGCGAGTGGAGGCATGGTGGAGGAGGCGACGACATGGGGTTGTGTGGTGGGGGGTTATGGTTATAGTTGGGGTGTTATTGAAAGCATATTTTGACTAATTAATCGCATCTAATTTTCTTATTTTTAAGAGATTTTGCTTGATTTTGGTTCATATGGCGGATCTAGGTTTTTCCAAAGTCGGTGGGTGACTGTACTCGCGGCGGCTGCGAGCGGTAACGGCTAGGGTTGGCGGCGGCTGAAAAATTGTTGGCGGCTAGGGTTTGGTCGTAAAGTATAGTTACTGTAGTATACTATAGTCAACTACAAACAAATTGAAAAATATGTAAATTGAAAAAAAAAATAGCATGTTTTTTATTTTTCTTTTTTGTAATTTTGAATATTATGTAGAAAAAAAGAGGAAAAAAAAAAAGAAGTTTTTATAATAATGTATAAAATAATAAAACGAAGAAAGAAAAAAAAGGAAGATAAACGAATATTCTGTAAAAAAAAATTGTTATATGGAAATTTGAAATATTAAATGCATAATAAATAAGATGATAAATACAGTTTGGAATTTATTTAATGGATATTTCGAATTTATGAGAAGAAGGGCATTTTTGGAATGAATTTTATAAAGGATGTGAACCAAAGGTTTAGTTGGACTTGTCATTTAGTTCTAATAAGTTTTGTCACTAGGGACCTATATCCTAAGGCCCTTTAATTATATTTAACAAATAAAGTTTGATTATAATAAATGACCATTTATTATTAAGGTTATTTTCCTTTATATTTATGTCAATTATATGTTATTTGTTAACAATTCATATTTTTAATTATTTTTTATAAATTACAGAAAATAGACAAAAATAAATTAATTAATGCAAATCACAACATGATTAAATTTTGTGATTAATTGGAAAACTATTGGATCGGAATTCAAAATTCCGAAATTTTGATATGTATTTCTAGTTTCGATCCATTTTTTTTCCGGAATTCGGAATTAAAAAAATTTGTTAAAAAGTCAAAATTCTTTGGATCGAATTCGGCGAAAATTGAAAATTTTGTTTCGATTTCCACCGTACCCCTAGCTATGATAGAAGCGAATAATGGTTGTGCGGGAGAAATTTTTGGAGCGCGCAGATGACAAAAGAGGAGAAATATAATAAAGTGCTTCAAAGAGATAAAGAAGATATCAAATTGAAGAATATCAACAGCTGATTAACGAACTGGTGAAACAAGATCACATGGATGATTATTTCCATCAACTTGAAGTGTATAAGTTGGATGGGTTGAACTCACTTGCAAATGAGATGCTAGCAAAGCTTGATACAATATTATATCGTTTAATATGCTCGAAAATTTGAAAAATGAACAATGTTCATCGATGCCATATTGGAAGATCCGCTTCCACCTCCGCCTTATGTTGGTGGTGCCGGCACTTCTTCTGTTGGTGGCGTAAATATGCCAAAATCTTTGAGTTTCATCACATATATCTTACATTTTGTTTTTGTATGTTTTTATTTATTTTTTTTTTCTGTAAGAATGATTTTTTTTTTGTTCTATTTAAAAACTACTGCATAATATTTTTCAATTTTTTTATCATTAACTTTCACTATATATGAATAGAATCATTATATCTTTATACATAAGTAAGAAATGGTAGGGCAACCTAAGAAACCATAATTGCATATTTATATAAAAAAAATCATTATTAATATATTTTATTATTTTATCATCTTCTATTTTCCAGCATTTTTTCTCTAGTGACTTTCATAGCAAATCAGATTAGCAAGTCGATTAACAAAATTCTAATCCACTCCGATGATTTCTCTCTGTGAATAACTAATTTTCTTTTATTATGTTATTTTTAAACTGAACTCATCTTACAAGCTATTTATACACAAATTATAATTAATTACACTTCAACTAATCATCTACCAACTAACCACATAATTATACTAATCTCCTACCTAACAACAACTTAATAAATAAATATATAACTTCCAACACTCCCCTCAAGCAGGAGTATATAAGTCATACTCAAAGCTTGCAACAAATATAATGACCTGGATGTCCCCTGAGGGGTTTTGTGAATATATCTGCTACTTGATCATTTGAGCTGATAAATTCTGTGACAATTTCTTTAGAAATAATTTTCTTTCAACAAAGTGACAATCGATCTCAATGTGTTTGGTTCTTACATGAAACACGGGGTTAGAGGTGATATGAAGAGCCACTTAATTATCACAACACTTTTTTTTTACTTTTCCATGAGACGAGATTTCCACCAACAAAAACACAATATCCTGATGTAGAACGCCTATCAATAAGAGAACAGAGAACCTGCCCAATCTACATCGCAATATCCAGTAATTAGAGTATTCCCTTTATCTTCGAAAAGTAACCCTTGTCCTGGTGCCTTTTTGATATATCTCAAAATCCTTATCAGTGCATTCCAGTGATCTTCACATGGGACTTGCATGAATTGACTTACAAATCCAATGGCAAAGGAAATATCCGGTTATATAGTGTCTTGTGATAGTAAGATAGATAAACTTTCCGACCAATCTTCAGTACCTCTTAGGATCATAATAAGGCTCCCCCTGATTTGGTAGAAATTTATGGTTTTGATCCATAGGACTGTCGATTGGCTTACAATTTTCCATGTCGGTTTATTTAAGTATATCTAATGTGTACTTCCTTTGTGATATAGCAATTCCACTTATTTATTGAGCCACTTCTATTCCAAGGAAATATTTCAATTTTTCCAAATCCTTGGTCTGAAAATGGCCAACCAAATGTTCCTTCAATCGGGAGATTTTCTCACGATCATTGCGAGTAATGGCAATATCATCAACATACACTACAAGGTAGACACAAGTATTAAGAGAAGTATGGCAGTAAAAGACCGAGTGATCTGCTTCGCTGCGCCGTAATCCAAATTTCTGCAAAACTGAAGTAAATTTTCCAAACTATGCTCGTGGGGGTTGTTTTAGCCCGTAGAGAGATCGCTGAAGCTTGCAAACTAATCCCGACTCCCCCTGAGCAACAAAGCCAGGCGGTTGCTCCATATAAATTTCTTCTTCTAATTCTCCATGAAGGAAGGCATTTTTAATATCTAACTGGTACAATAGCCAATGATGAATTGCTGCCAAGGAAAGAAATAAACGGAGCGAGGTGATTTTTGCCACAGGAGAAAAAGTATCCCCATAGTCAAGACCGTAAATTTGTGTATATCCTTTCGCCACAAGACGAGCTTTTAGACAATCAATTTGTCCATTTGGGCCAACTTTCACAGTATATACCAACGACAACCAATAGTGGTTTTTCCTGGAGGAAGAGATACTAATGCCCGTGTCTCATTTTGTTTAAGAGCTTGCATTTCTTCAATCATGGCTTGTCTCCATCCTGGATGGTCAAGTGCTTCTCGAACATTTTTGGGAATGGGAACAGAAGATAAAGATGATACAAAGGCAAAATAGGAAGGAGACAAACGGTGATAACTTAGAAAATTATAAATAGGATGGAGATTACCTTTTCTAAGAGCGATAGGTAACTCGTTGTTACTGGGGTCTGTAGTAGAGGCGGTTGGTGGAGTAGGACATGAATCATTTGGTTGTGCAACTTCCTCTTCTACTGGTTCGGAAACTTGTGCGTGCCGTTGGTATGTAATAAGCGGTAGAGATAACTCAACTGTAGGACATTTGTTAAGTGTATATTTATACACTTAATTGTACCTTTTAATTGGAACTTTTGGTGTGTTTTAACGATAATTGGTGCTTAAAATGGTTATTATTTGTATTTTAGGTGCAAATTGAAGAATTGGCAACTTATGGGGTAAAAACTGCAAATTCGAAAAAAGTGGGCCAAAAGTAGAAAAATCAAAAATCTGCAGAATTAAGGACCGGACGGCCGTCCGGATTTAAGAAGGAATTCTCGCACGGCCGTCCGGGTGGTCGAGGTGGCGCAGTGAAGGAAGTTTAATTAGACAAGGAAACCCGCCCTATTATATTTTTGCACCCTATTTAAAGGCCAAGAGCACACAATTAATCAATCATCTATCTTTTATCTTTTTCTTTCTACACGCGATTAAGGAGTACAAGAACGAAGACGAAGACTTGACGAATCTTCATCATAGTTCTCCTCTTTTATTTTTATTCATAGCTTTTATGTTTTTTCGTATTTTTATTATGCTTTTCGTAGAGAACATGAGTAGCTAAGTTTTTATTCTAGGATTTTATTGGAACCCTATGTGGTAATTCGAACCTATTTTTCTACTTTTATGCAAGTTTAATTCTTCGATTATTTCTTCTATTTTGATCTTAT